TGTACAACTCAACTCAAATCATCCTATTTGCATCAACTCAATTCAACTTAACGCTACGACATCTCGCGTTATATCGCTGGCAAAAGTGGTCTCCGACATCACCCTCTCAAACGAACCCGAACAATATTCACTACAGTATCTCAAAAGAATTTATGAAATAATTAAAAGTAACTGTGAATTATCTCAAAAGAATTTGTGAAATAATTAAAACAAATGTACAAATATCAAATAAAAAATTATTTTACTATAGCATATCACTAAAATATTATCGTAAATTTTGTACAGAATTACCGGAATATTTTCTATTTAATGATGTCAAAAATTTTGCTAATTTCAATCTTTTCAAAATTTCATTCAATATTTTTCTCGTTTAATTTAAATTTTATCATCTTCCTCGTAAAATTTTTCACACCATTTCCCATTCTTTCATCCCATAAATGATTGCATTTCTGATTAATTAATAATTTACAATTGAACTTTTGCTAATCATTAATAATAATGTTTAAATGTATTTTAAAAGGAAAAAAAAGAAAAGGGTTGATCGATTTTCCTCGAAAAAGTATTTTTCTTTTTTTCGAAAAACATTTTTCGAAAAAGCGTTTTCACATGACATAAATTTAAGATTTTTATAGTAAAATTAGCACATTTATCACTTTTATAGCAATTTCATCACTCCAAAATATAAATTTCATTAAACCAATTATTAAATAAATTATTATCAGATAGGAATAATTAATTACAATTCATTTCCAGTTTCATTTCAATTCCTGTTCTTTAAAGCATTCGCGATAAACGTTTCCGCTGTTTTTTCATCGCATTGAGTCTTCGACGCTGCAGAAAAAAGAAAAAGGCGCATATGACAAAAATAGAAATGCAAATATTTTTCAAATTTTTAATTTCCAAATTACGGAAATTAGCTGTTCAAAGATCGTTTTTTTTTCGCATCAAATGTAATTTATTTGTTTGTTTTCAAAATATCCCTCAATTTTTTTTTTCTCAATTGTAATAAAAATGCGAAAAATTCTTAAAAAATAAAAATAAAAAAATCTTTTAAAAAAAGAGAAAAAAAAAGCAATGTGTACTGTATTTGAATTAAATTTCAAAATTAGTTCAACAAATTTTGAAAATAACACAAAAATTAAATTAGTTAAATTGGTGAAATGAAAAGAAAAATGTGCCAGAAAAAGATACATTTCTTAAAGTAATAATAATAATAATAATAACACCAGTGATACAGTATTATCAAAAAAAAAAGAAAAAGTGAGACATAAAAAGCATACCATAATATCGCAGGTCAATTGCAATTCCAGATACTGTAACATTTGAATGTTGTAATCCTGAATGAGAACACATTCCTGCTGAAGCAATAGCATCAGTTCATTCTCGATTCGAATTGCATCCATGCGCAATTGTCGGCTTTGTCCGGAAAGTCGTGCTTCCTTATAACGAAAATCAAATCGTTTCGGAATGCGTTGTCCTGTCATTCCTTCCTTTCCTGTTTATTTACATAATCATTTTTATTTCAGGAATTGTTCCGGAAATTACTTCAATAAAAATTTTATGATTTAAAATGGAAAAAAAAAAGGGAAAATTAAGGGAAAGTTGAAAATAAAAATATTTTAAAAAGAAAGTATTATTTTTGTATGATAATGTGATGTAAAGATATGATAATGTGACATAAAGATGCAACGATTGGCTCAATAATTCTAATTTTATTTCTCGGAAAATCATTTAGAATTTTAATTAAATCTAATTAAATAATTAGTTGTTATAATTAACTAATAATCAGCTAATTAAATAATCAATTCATCCTTGTATTTATTATTTGCTAGCATAAAATGGAGCAAATTATCTCGAAGAATTGTTAATCACATAATCAATCAGTTAATTTTTTTGTAAAATTTTATGAACAAAAAAAAAAAAGAAGAAACGATCAAATTTTATATTTCGAAATGTTTCATTTTAAAATATTTAATTATAAAACGAATTAATTTTGTTTATGTTTAAAACTCAATTATTGTTGGTAAATTTAATTGTAATAATTTTAATCAATTATCATTCTAATAAATTAAATATCTTAGTGAACAAATAGAGAGATTTTTTTTTTGTCTTACGAAGAAATGAAAGTGAAAATTTCTTATAGATTTATTAAAAATTTAATTTTAGCAAAATTTCCATTTTCCTAGTGGTAATGTTCGCTCCGGAAAAATTATCCGGCAAGAGTTCTGTTTTTCTAATATACCAATTGAAATTAATGTCATACAGAGTTTATTACCTGTTGTTATTTTTAAATATCATGAAATTTAGTTGTTACAAACTTTAAGCAATGAATATCAATTTTTCGGAATCCGGAATTTGATTTCAAAAATGTTAACAATCACCTTATGTTTATCACAAATGCTATCTTATAATTAAATTGATGTAATTTCACATATAAACGCATTAAATGAAGAGGTAATAATTAAAAGTTATCGGAAATTTTAAAAATCACCACCAACAAACATGCAAATAATGAGAGGAAAAGCGCATACAACCACCTACCGGATTGATATCTCGTTGAAATCAAATTATTCCAAAGCTAAATTAAATATTGATTACATGCAAATCGTAAAATCTGCATTAAAAAGTATTAAAAATTGTGAAAAAATTTGCATATTTTATGCGCAACACTATATGGTAAATTACAAGTAATGCACAAGAAAATAGGTTTAAATGCAAATTTAGGTATTATAAATTATATTTTTTCAAAAATTTTAATTTTATCTTTAAATTTTGATTAAATTAAATGAAGAAAAATCAAAATTGGGAATAAAATTTGAATTGAATTTTAACATTCATCACTAGTCCAACAATTACTTCCAAAAAATCATTCTAACTCATGATGATGCTAATTAAATTAGCTCATATTAGATATCATTTGATAGCTTATTTTATTGGCTATATGATAGGATGAAAAATTTCGAAATTTTGGAAATTTTATGAGAAACGAAACGTGCGAACTATCATTTGATTACATGCTGTCGCATGTCATTTAGTTGTTATGCAGTAGATGCTATGGTGTCCCGGCGTAGTCATTCAACGATCGACAAAATGCATCAATGTCTTTTATCAAATGGCTATCCGGTTAACCGGATCCGTATAATATTAGTATAAATGAAATCATCCTTTCATTTCAACGATCAGTTTTCCACTCTGATTTATTATGAATTCCGGTTTCTTTTTTTTGCAATACGATCCCATGCATTAGTAGTAATTACGCCAACAATAATTTCAGTAACAATCCGAGAAATATTTATGATAACCGGATGAAGTAACAAGTCGAAATTGTAAGGAATCCGGAAAAAAAACTTTGTATATATTATTCGGAATAACTAAAATAAAAGAATAATTTAAATCGTGCAATGATTCTTTTTCGTTTTCTTTTTTGTTTTTGTTTTTTTTTCCGTTCGTTTTTTTTTACTTTTCTATTTCATCTTTTCATTTTTCTGAAATTTTATTTAAAAATTTAAATTTTTAAAGATTTGAAGAGAATGTAAAAAAAAAAAGAGAGAAAGAGAATGTTAATCAGTCACAAACACGGTAATTGTTTCGATGCATCCAACTTTGGTCATTTGATCGGACATTTAGATGTTGCGAATGTCCAATCGATCATTTGGTCGGACATTTAGGTGTTGTTGCGAATGTCCAATCATTTAATAAAACATAACCCTTGATTGATAATATTACTGTAAGTTGACTGTAGTTGAACATTTACCTCTGAAATGAATAAGGCTTATTGTACATATTTGTTAAATATACGATGATAAAACTGTATGCTTATCAGATATTTTAACTAATTCGAAAAAAAAAGAAAAACGTTAAAACCCAATATTCAGGATGTATGTTTTCAAGATAATACCGGATATAATGATACAGTTGTTTCCTGAATACTGGGATATAATGATACAGGTATTTCCTGAAATTATGACATTAGTACCATTAATGATCAAAACTAATCCAGACTTACGAAATAAACAACAACCCTGAAAATTGAATCAGTCAAAAATCATTATCAGCTATTATAATCAAAAAATTAATAATTAAAATCCTGTAAAATCAGTTCTATGCACGATATCAAAAATTTATCAACTATTTTGTTTATCAAGTAATTATTCGATTCCGGACAGTCTTCGATGGTTAATTTCATGATTATGCTTATGCTAAAATTTCCGGAATAGTCTATTCTAATTCACTACCAAATAGTTTTCTGTAACAAATCCGTTATGAACCAAAAATGTGGAAGTCAACAGGATATCATCATCATCATTTTACGCCAAAGATATTACGGAATAGGATGATTCCATGATCAAATCCTTGCTAAGTAATCAATCTATTGCGCAAAAATTAAAGATAGCTGAAAGATACCATAAAAAAGCATAAAAGTCAATTTTCGGGAGAGAAAAAAAAAAAGAAACCAAACGTCTCATTTTCTGGATTCTGATTTTCTGGATTTCCTAACACTACTATCATTTCATTTAACTTTTTTTTTTTTGACAGCTTCCGGAAATTTCACATTTTATCTAAATGAATTCACTATGCTATCATTTAAGATCATATTACTCTTTTTGCATAAAATATTGACATTTGCATTAAAGTATTAGCAATTCAAGTGATCATCATCCGGATAATAGACGATAAGCAATCTTTAGAAGTTTAAATTGGGGAATTTTTGCAAATAATTAAATATTACTGATAGCACAGGTAATATATGACAGGTATTGTTAAAAGAAAAGGATTATTAATAAATCTCTAAAATAATTAGTAAAATTTCCGGTTATGAAAATTGAATCTGAAATGAAAATTTGGTCTTTATGATGATTGAATCTCTCGCAAGGAAATAATGATTCATTAGATAGAATTATTTAGTATTATAACAAATCTGATATCATATGAGATTACTGTTTTTTTTCCGGAAATTAATCCGTAATTGTTTCGGAAATATAAAGTCATTTGGTATTAATTGATAAAATATATTGAATTGTCAAATGTTACATACAAATGGTTCAAAAAAGATGGATTCAATCATCCCTAACAGTTTTGAAATTAGAAATCAAAACTAAATTAGGAAAAGAAAGGAGAGAGAGAGAGAGAGAGAGAGAGAATGATAGAGAGAATTATGAAAATTTTAAGAGTTAATTTTTATCAATATTTCCAATCTCTTTAGGAAACTTCAAAAGAATTTTATTTATTAGAGATAAATTTCTCAAATATTGATAATTTTTTTTTTTTTGATAAAAACTTTAATTCTGATAAAGTTTGAGGGAGTGAATCTCTGATAACATGTATGTTATCAAAATAAAATCATATTGTTTATTGATAAATTTCACTCAGTAAATATTTGTAAAATAAAAATTTAATTAATTAATTTATTTTTTCGTTATGATTAATAACGATATCATCCCACAATTCATTTGGCTTAAAACATTTAAATAGCAATCTAAATTCATATATGAATTCATACATAAATACTAAATTTGAATTCATTTCGTCGAGAAAGTTTTTTCAATTTGTTTCTTTTTTTTTTTCTTTTTTTAACACCGTATCTTTTAACATCGTATTAATATACTTATGCAGCAATAAAATAATATTAATATAAAAAAGTAATGAAATTATTTATGTGAAAATTCTTTTTTTTCTAGAAATAATTTAAAAACTGTTTTAAAAAAACAGGAAAATTTTAAAAAAATATAAGATTAGAAATTTCATTTATGCAAATTAATCGATATATTTATTATAAAATAACAGGAATCGGTAAGGGTTTATTACAATAATTGTGGATATTTAAATTGTTGAACAAGGATTTCATTTAAGAAAACAAATGAGGACAAAATTAGCATAAACGATTAATAAAAATCAATCCTCGATTGTTGAAAAGATCGGTACTTTTTCATTGAAATGTTAAAAAAGATCATTTCCCG